TTTTTTTGAATTTTTTTCTTTGAGAGGGGATTTACTTTTCCATCTTCCCAAGCATAGAGTAGTATTCTATATATCATGTGGCAGTGCATCTCTATTATTTAATGCATCCAGAATTAATTTCAATTAATGAGGAAACAAAGGTCACTAAGCCTACATTCAAATGCTATCATTGTTTCCCTGTTTCTGAAGGAAATACTTTCAGTTTGGTTAATGGATCTTCTTCATCATCATCTTCTTTTTTTCTTTTTTTTAATTATAGGGTCTCACTTTGTTGTTATCCTGCCTCAGGTTCCTAAGGAGGTGGGACTATAAGCACATGCCCCAGTGCCCATTTTTTGGGAAGGGCTAGAACTCAAACCTGGGCCTGCCATATGGCCTTAGGCTGCAGAACACCAGTGTCTTTACCAGTGCACTATTGTATCTTGGCCTGTAAGTTTTTTGTAGATGGAGGAAAAGATTTTGTGGTCCCTTTTATAGCTTCATTTAAAAAAAATATATATAAAATCACCTATGTTCTTGAATTTTGACCCAAACTCCCTTGAATTTAACGAAAATTATAATAGTTGCAACTGCCTTAATTGGTCTTCCTCTTAAGATATGATATAACTAGAATGATATTATTTTGCTTCCCAAGCTTTGGTTACGTTTAAATGTTTTCAAATGATGGATATAAATGTTTATACTATGAAGTTCTTAGAAACCAATTACACAGGCAGGTTTGTATCACTTGAAATTTATATTTAAGCACAGGTAAAGTATAAGTATCAATAGAAAGTTACCAGTTTCCTTTTCTATATTGTAAATTTGAAATGTAAACTTATTGCATCATCTACAGCTTAAGAAATAGAATAGAGATCTCTTCACCTTCAATAAACTATATGCCTATGATATAACTTCCACTAAGCATTAGCCTATATTTGTAGTATTATCTTCTAAAATCATATAGCTCTTAAGTGGAATTAAATATTATTTTTGACGCTTTGAATATAACTGAGTTCAAATGAGCTTATTTTTGCCTTTTTAAAAATGTTGCTTTAAACGTTTTTTCCTTCTTTTGCAGTGGCATTAATTGCTGTGGTTTCATAAACCAGTTCTTTTTTATTTTCTGCTTGAGAAAGATATAAGTGAAGGATTTTTGGACTCATCAAAGTTCTTATAGATTAGTGACAGCCAGTTATTCACAAATTTTAGCTTACTGCTACAAATACACCTGTTATTTTTGAAGACTGTGATATACAGTGGCATATTCATTATTTAAATTCAAGCATGCTGAAACACATATTTAATTTTATTGGATGTTTTTACCAGAGCTTAGACAATTTTTCAAAAGGTAAAACATAATGATAACTAGCTTCTTATATTAATAGCACCATGAGGTCTTCTTTTCATCTTAGAAAAACATTTTTAAGAAAACTGCAAATTATATATTTTTATGTGTAGTAAATTTTTGATGTTTTTCTCTCAATAAATATTCCTTTTTTTTTTAGCAATACATACTGAAATATTTAGAGTTTTTTTTTTTTTAAATGTATTTTTTTGTTATAGGGCACGTGCACTTGCCAGAAAGAGAGAGAGAGACAGAGAAACAGAAAGTGAGAAATCACTCCCCAGGGGGGATGGCCATGCCGCAGTCTCTTCTCCATTCTCCTCTCGGGATCTTGGGCATGCACGCACACGCACCCAGTGTGAGTTTAAGCCACCCAGTCTGGGACTCGAACCACGGTCGCCTACATGAGAGTTCAGCAACATAGCCATTATGCCAACTGCTAGTCTTTAGAGGTGAAATTTTATAGCTGAAATTGGCTTTAAAGTAATCTGGGGTGGGAGCTGTACTATCCGGTAGTCTGGCAGTTAAGGTAGCTAGATCCCACATGGCTGACCACATGGTTTGAATCCTGGACCTGTGGCATGAGAAACACACCAGGTGGGTGTGTGTGCATGCCCAAAATCTTAAAAGGAGAAAAATGTGGAAGAGAAGGGATTGCAGCATGGCCATTTCCCACGGGGAGTGCTTTCTCTCTTTCCTTTTTTTTGTTCTTTCTGTCTCTCTCTGGCAAGTGCACACACCCTCTGGCAAATTAAAAACAAACAAACAAACAGTAATATAGGGGGAGGATGTGTACATGGAAGTAAAATGAAAGGAGATTGGTTATGAGTTGATAATTGCTGAAGTTATGTGAGATTTATTACTGTTCTGTTTGTGTGTATTTGAAAGTTTTAATAATAAAATTACAAATTTTATCACACACATATATTTTAGAACATTTTACTTTAAATTTATAAATATCCATAAAAAATCACTCAAGTTGTTAAAGCCAGGGCATATTTCTCCTATTATGCGTTTCCTCCTGAACATTTTTTTTTTTTTTTGGAGAGGTTTTCACTACAGGGCGTGTGCACTCACCAGACAGACAGAGAGAGACAGAGAGACAGAAAGCGAGAAATCACCCCCCAGGGGGGAATCACACCGCAATCCCTTCTCCTCCATTTTCCTCTTGGGATCTTAGGCACGCATGCACACGCGCCCGGCGTGAGTTTTAAGCCACCGGGTCCGGGACGCAAACTGCGGTCGACTACGTGGGAGTCCAGTGACATAGCCATTATGCTAACTGCTGGTTCCCTCCTCCTGAACATTTGATTCCCACTAACTTCATGGTACAACCCTAGTCACCTGACATGATGACCTTCTATATCAGTTATTAATTTGATTGGGTTAATTGTATTTATTGAGTTGTCAGAAAAGTCATGATGCATTTTTGCATAGAAAACCAAAAAGTACATTATGACTTTTCCAATAACCCATTTAATATCTGTAGCACTACCTTTATCCCAACTCTTAAAGCTCACATTATATTTTGGCAGTATTAAATATTTATGTAATGGATGAATGAATTAAAAGCACTAAATGCTTTTATCATAGCACAGTTTACACTGTTTTGTGATCCTTTTTCTTTTCTTTTTTTTTTTTTTTTTTTGAGAGGTTTTCGCTATAGGGTGCGTGCGCTCGCCAGACAGAGAGAGACAGAGAGACAGAAAGCGAGAAATAACCCCCCGGGGGAATGGCCACGCCGCAATCCCTTCTCCATTCTCCTCTCAGGATCTTGGGCATGCATGTACCCGCGCCTGGCGTGAGTTCTAAGCCACCAGGTCTGGGACGCGAACCGCGGTCGACTACGTGGGAATCCAGAGACATAGCCATTATGCTAACTGCTGGTTCCCAGTCCTTTTTCATTTTTTCTTAGCCCAGTACTAGATTTTTTTTTTATGTTTGTTTACTTCTTCCGAGAGAGAGAAAGAGAGAGAGAGAGAGCCCCCAGTAGGATCTTGATTTCCTGATCCCCCTCCAGCTGCAGCTAGTCCCAGATCATGGGCACTAGATCATGCCTGGCTTATTCAGGGAGGTCTCTGGATGCAAAACTATAAGCCTCCCAAGTAGGTCAGCCTCATCATGGTTTTTTTTTTGTTTGTTTAAATATATTTAAAGAACTTTTTTATTGATCTTTATTTATTTTATTTATTTGTTTTAATTTGACCAGAGAGGAAGAGAGTGAGGGGTGAGGGGGGAGAGAGAGAGAGATCAAGCCACCAGGGGAGAGAGAGAGAGATCAAGCCACCAGGTCCGAGACTCAAACCACGGTTGGCCATGTGGGAGGGAGTTCAGCGCCTTCAACCACCATGCCACCTGCTGGTCCCCAGCCTCATCATGTTTGACTGACATAATACTGCCTCCTTCGCTAGATCTTACACCTCATAGAAGCTGAAGTGAATCTGTTCACCATTGAGTTTCGAGCAACTAGTGTAGTATCCGGCATAAATTAGGCCTTCAATAAGTATTTAAGATGAATGAGATAATCTGTCTTTGTAAGTAATACCCCTGATTTCTTTCTCCATTTTTGGCTAATTTAACCTCCATTTAAATGGAGGTTTCTGGAGGGTTGCTCTCAACTACCATTGTGATCATATTTCATTCATTAATAGCATTTTCTTATCAGGGTGTGCATTGAGATACTTGCACAGGGCTTCCACAGCCCTTCATTGTGTGGGTCCTGCCAGCTGCTGGCTCCCCTTCTTCTCTGCACTTCACCACTCTGGATGACTTGACCTACTTGCCTATTTTATGCCCTTCCCCCGGCCTCCCCATTTTTACTGAACATCTCTCTGGGAATGCCATCCCCATGTACATTTTTAAAATGGCTCCACTGGAGGATGCTTTGCTAACCATAGGAGGCTGAGGGGATCACCACCCCACACACAGAGGCTGTGGGTGTAGCAGCAAATGCCACACAGTCCCTGATCACAGCACACTCACTCTCTCTTCACTGTCAAGGTCCATTTTATTCTTATCATTTTCCTCTCCACTGACAGCATTCCTAGGAAAGGAATTTATATATATATATATATATATTTAACAGTCTCACTTTATCTGGCAAATAGAGAAACCCAATAAATATTTGCAGAATGAGCAAATTAAGGAATGCAGGTTTTCACTGAGCAAGTGAATGAGTTTTCCATGGAAGATGTGAAACCGATGATATACTTACCAGCACACACAAAGGTTGTTTTCTACATTTGTACCAGGTTGTCGTCTATTGTGTTTTGTTTTGTTTTGTTCTGTTTTATAGTGTAGTCAGTAGTTCAAAGGACAGCCCTCTGAATCAAATAAATGTAGGAATGAAATGCTGAGGTAAAAAAGACCTGATGTGAACCAAGGAACTAAGGGAAACTTGAGAGTGGGTTTCCCAAGCTCAAGGTTTATTTAGTAATGGAAATATTCCTAATAAGTTAGTGAAGTTTTTGGTAGCTTCAAGGGATATTATTTCAGACAGATATTTAGGAGCTACGACATAGTTGGATCTTTGACCCCTAGCATATATTTTATCAAAGAGACAAAATACAAAAATACTAAATTGGTGGAAAATGAGACCTCTTGTTATGTTGACATGAACATCATAGCTTAAGAAGTTCATAAAACGTGGATTTTTTTCCCCTTTCTTCCCCAGATATGTCTTCTCCGACTACTATGAAGAAGCCTGAAAAGCCATTGTTCAGCTCTACATCTCCACAGGATTCTTCCCCAAGACTGAGCACTTTTCCCCAGCATCACCACCCCGGAATACCCGGAGTCGCACACAGTGGTGAGGAATTTCAAGCAGAGAGAAGCCTCGGTCTTGTATGCAGGGCCAACCCTCAGAAATGGAGCAAAAGTTTATCATAAAAGCTATAGTGACCATGTTTTCTAAACCAAAAGGGGAAGGGTCACAATCTGATCAAATATTTTCTTACCAATTTATGAGAAAAGATTTTCAAAGTCATACAATTAAATCATATATGTGTATGTGTATGTATGTATATATATTTATGTATATGTGTATATGTTTTGTATATATATGTGTATATATATATGTATATATGCAAAACATAAATATATAATATATATATTTAAATTGCCTTCATTGGAAAAATTTCAAACACAGGAACTTAGAAAATGTGAGGCACCTAGTCATCTTAACTATAGCTTCAGGCTTGGACTGAATTCTTTATATTTGACTAAGGGAAAAAGGAGATTTCAAGAATGTTGCTGACTTGGGACCAGCAGTTAGTGTAATGGCTATGTCGCTGAACTCCCATGTAGCCGACCGTGGTTCAAGTCCTGGACCTGGTGGCTTAAACTCACACCGGCACGTGTGCGTGCGTGCCCAAGATCCCAGGAGGAGAATGGAGAAGGGAGGAGAAGGGATTGCGGCGTGGCCATCCCCCCTGGAGGGTGATTTCTTGCTTTCTATCTCTCTGTCTCTCTCTGTCTGGCGAGCGCACGCACCCTATAGCAAAAACCTCTCCCTCCCCCCAAAAAAAGAACAGTAGTACTTTTCTTTGACAATTTTTTATATGTACAAATTCTTTAGGTTGGAACAACTGATATATGTCCGATATCTTAGTTTAATAGGAAAAAACAATATGATATTTCACATTTGCACTTTAACCAACAACTAATATTAAATCCTCATTCCAAACATAAAAATGAGGTACAATTAATATGTAATACAGTATGAGGGTGTCTTCAAAAGGTTAATGAAAAATGCAAATTATGAAAAAAGACTTTGCATAGATTTAATTTTTTGCACCAAAATAAGCTTGTACTATAATTCTATTTTTCTATGAGCTTTTTAAATTCCCTTAATATGCTTATTAGTCTTTTTTAAAGAATTATTTTATTTAATTTTATTTATTAATTCATTTATTTTAATTTGACCAGACACACACACACACACACACACACACACACACACACACAGAAAGAGAGAAAGAGAGAGAGAGAAAGGAAGCCACCAGGTACAGGACTTGAACTGTGGTCAGCCATGTGGGAGTGTCCAGCACCTTAACCACCATGCCACCTGCTGATCCCCCATATGATTATTACTCTTAAGTCTTAAAGAGTGATAGGCTGAATTTTCAGTAATGACTATTTTATACATAAATATGTTTACTAATACTCTTATTTGTTTAGATTTATAGTTAGGCAATTCCTTCAAATTAAGTGAATCTGAATTTTAAATCTTTATTCAAAGGATACAACTTCCTTTAAAATAAAATCCTTAGCTTTGGTTTGTATGTTGATATTGTTGCTATACTTTAAAAACGTGTGACTTTTACTGCAGTCATTTAAAAAATTATAAAATTGAGAGAGGAATACAGTTGACCCTTGAGCATATGGATATGAGTCCACTTACATGCAGCTTTTGTCCATTAAGTATATTTTAAAATATTTTGGGGATTTGCAACAGTTTGGAAAAACTCATATGTGAACCATTTGAGCCTAGAACTCTCAGAAAGAAAGAAAAAGGTATGCTATGAATGCATAAAATATATGTACATACTAGTCTATTTTATCATTTCACTGCCATAAAATTTACACAAATGTGTTATAAAAAGTTAAAATTTATCAAAAAGTATGCACACAAACACTTACAGACCATTCATGGCACCATTCATAGTAGAGAACTATAAACAAAAGTAAAGACATGGTATTACATTATAGCTGTATAAAATGAATAGTAATACAGATTCTAGGACTGTAATAATGTCGTAGCTACCTCCTTTGCTATTGAGGTGAGCTCAGTGTCGCAAGTATCTCCTTAAAATGCTCTGGAACACATCTATGCTTTAGCAGTTGGTTTCTGCACTAAATTGTGTATCATAGTAAAAAGTGATCTCTTACCCTTCCGCGTATTTTTCATTGTGGTCAGTGTAATACCATAAAGCTTGAATAACACCATGGGATCCGTTACCTTCTCATTTCTGATGACTGGTATTAGTAATGCATAGAACATCTACAGTATTTTATATCACTTAAGACAACATTGATGTAGGAACTAACAGACAATTCATATTATAAATAGATGATATAAACTTATGGTATTGATAAACATGGTACAGTACTATAAATATATTTATATTTTTTTCTTTAGCTTACTTTATTATAAGAATACAGTATATGAGGGATCAGTTAGTAGCATAATGGTTATGTCACTGGACTCCACATAGTTGACTAGGGTTCCAGTCCCAGACCTGGTTGCTTAAAATTCAAGCTGGGTGCGTGTGCATGCATGTCCAAAATCCCAAGAGGAGAATGGAAGAGAAGGGATTGAGGCATGGCTATCCGCCTTAGGGTGTCATTTCTTGCATTCTATCTCTCCGTTTTTCTCTCTCTCTCTCTGGCAAGTGCATGTGCCCTAAAGCAAAAATCTCTCTACAAAAAGTAAAGTAAAATAAAATAAAAAATTATAGTATTTGATACAAATAACGTACAAAAGGTGCATTAGTCAGATGTTTATTTTATCAGTAGGCTGTCCAGTCACCATTAGGATATTAGTAATTAAGTTTGGGGTCAAAAGTTGTTTGATGTTTTTTGACCTCATGGGAGGGGTCAGTGCCCCAGACCCCCATATTGTCCAAGGGTCAACTGTATACAAATTAAATGTAGTTTAAACATTTTGACATTTATGGGGCCAGTAGGTGGTATGGTGTAGGTTGCTGGACTCAGTGGTTTGAGAATCACGCTGGGTGTTTGCATGTGTGTGTGCCCAAAATCCCGAGAGGAGAATGGAGGAGAAGAGATTGCAGCATGGCTGTCCCCTCTGGGGGATGACTTCTCTCTCTCTCTGTCTCTCTCTCTGCCTTTCCCTCTCTGGCAAGCACATACAACCTGTGGAAAAATGTTCAAAAAAAAGAATTTTTGTATTTGTTATTTGTACTACTGAGATAGATAAAAAAAAATGAGTAAGTAATAGATTTGCAATGTTGAATATTTGGACAAAATAAAAGCCACACCAACCATTTATTATGACATGTTAAAATATTCATATTTCTAACATTTGAAAAGAAATATTATATTTTTATATAATGAAATATGAGAGGCCTGGATAAGCTTTCCACTTCGACCCTTCACCAGATAGGTGTTCAAGAGCTAATATATTAGGGCACCTTGGTTATGAAAGGCAGTTTCTGCCCTCAAAAAGCTCATGATGTAGTGGGGAGACAGAGGGACTACATCAGTGGCTACATCACACCAACAAGAGATACTCACCAAGAGACCATGTTTCAGGCAGAGATAACAGCCTGAAATGAACACAGGTAACAGCCTGTATTAGAGCTCATTACGATGAGAAACTGTTGTATATCCATTGATCCACAAATCTCATACTGTGGCCAGAGATCAGGACAAAAACGGTGTCCCAGGACTAAGGACTAAAGCCCATGAGGACCCTAAGTACCTATGATGTTGTTGGGATCTTATTTTGAAAGTAACAGGAAGCCATTGTAAGATTTTTATCAGAGAAGTTACACGATCATAATGGCAGTTTTGAAAACTCATACTTATGGAACTACAGAGGACATATTGCAAGGGGCAAGATTGGCGGAAAGAAGATAGTTAGGAGTTCTTTGCAGTAATAGAAGCAAGAAATACATATATTAGGTCGTTGGGAAAGTCATGATGTATTTTTCTATGCAAAAATGTGCCATGACTTTCCAGATAACTCAATGCATGTATGGAGAATGAGTTTTCAAAAACTTCATGGAAGATGACTATTATGAAAAAACTATGCATGGATTTCATAAGTTTTTACGCAAACATAAACTTGTATTCTATGTTCCCACTGCCTTTCTGAGGTCCTCTCTTATGTTTGTGTTCTTTCATAATGAAGAAAAAAATTTTGTCTTGAATTTTGCTTTTCTTCTTTTAAAGGACTAGAGTGACTTTTATTGATAAGGTAGTCATTTTTACTTCTATGCAGTTACAGCAGGCCAGTTAGAGCTCGTGTAAGCACAGTCCCAGGTTGCCTAGGTATTTGACCTCAGACTGGATTTGTGACCAGTTCAGTTGAAAAGAGAGCTATTCGTGAGCTACTAAGGCCAAATTGATCTCAAAAACCAGAGGACCCAAAATGTAATTATGCATATATCCTTCAAGGGTTTGTGTATAGATAGATGTTAGCAAAGGCCCCAGTTAAACTGAGCTGAGCATTTAGACATTAAGGAAAAAGTTGCTATATTTTACATAGATGTTCACATTTCTTTAGATTACCCTCTCAAATGTTATACTTTTAAAATCAGGTAATATTTTGATAAAAAGTTTTGTTTTAAGAAATATACAGTTGTTCTCTGAAATGCATCTCTTTGATGGAGGATGCTCAAACTTTGGGTGTGCGAAGATTACAGGGGGCACCTGTTTACAAGGGAAATATCCGGTATCTCATTCCTACAGATTCTGATCCACTAGGTCTGTGGTTGGGCCCAGGAATTTGTGTTGTAATAACGAACCAGTGGATTCTAAGAAATAATGCTCTGGACATTCAGAGAGAAAATTCTGATTATAAAATTGGTTTTATGATTCTTATATGATAAAGATTCTGAATTTCCTGTGTCTTCTGAATAAGTTTCCTTTGGGGGAGAAAAGCAATATCTCTTAAAAAGTTTCTCTCCCCAACCCCCACAATTACAAAGTTGGAGTTAAGTCATTCCAGATTATTTTCCTTTATAGATCAAAGAAAGAATTTTTAAAAATATTATTTGCTAATTTGCCTCATAAAACATTAAATGTTTGTTATTTCCTATAATATAGATTGAACTATTAAGTAGAAACAGACATTTAATCTTTACAGGTATTGGTTAGCACTCTTGATTTTTTTTTTTTTTTTGCTATAGGGTGCGTGCGTTTGTCAGACAGACAGAGAGAGACTTAGAGACAGAAAGTGAGAAATCACCCCCCAGAGGGGATGGTCACGCCGCAATCCCTTCTCCTCCATTCTCCTCTCGGGATCTTGGGCACACACGCACACGCGCCCAGCGTGAGTTTTAAGCCACCAGGTCCGGGATGCGAACCGTGGTTGACTATGTGGGAATCCAGTGACATAGCCATTACGCTAACTGCTGGTTCCCAGCACTCTTGATTTTTACTTATATAAATATTTCTGTCAATATTATAGAGATAACAAGCATACCATTATATTCTTTTCTCATCTTTTAGACTTAAGAATTATATTTAAAAACTAAACAATAAATTGTGATCATTCTATTGTTGGAATTTATAATAAAATTAAACATTGTGCACATTGCATATATTTTACATTTATTTCCCTTTATGAAATTATTATTAAGTTTGTGATCTTTGGGTAAGTTAATATACCTATCTATATGTAAGTTTAAATTTGCTTTTCTGTAGGGTTTATACTTGGTTTTACCATAATAATATCTTTTAAGCTACAAATAATAGAAGTTACAGTAGGAAGAAAAATAGTTGTGTAATAGACCTCTTTTGGTTTCAAAAGGGCCATTTTCATTAGGAGAAACTATTCCTAGGCCCTATGTTCAACTGTGCATAAGTGCTTATACAATGACCCTGTGATTATTCATGACATGGAATTATTTTATATTAGTTATTGACTTCCCTACTAAACAACTGGCAGCTTGGATATATTGGGAAATGCTTTAATTCGAAATGAATACATAATAATTTTCTACTGTCTTGAATTTTGGTAGAAAATTTGTCGATCTCCTGCCCTCCAATTCAATAACTTGGTCTGGACATGTGAGACAAAGAATTGATAACCTAAAAGTGCATTTTGGATGGGAAATAGCTTTGCTCAAGGAAATGTTTTATCAAGTACTGCTGTGACCTACACAGAAGCAGTTTTTATTTTATTTTTTTATCATTCATGGTTTTGGAAAGCAAGATTGTTCATTAGCATGAGGTTTTGTCTCGGTGTGCTTAGGAGTACTGCCACTGAGTAAAAGTGAAAGAGTAACTTACTTTAGAAGACCATGGTTAAGTCATGGGATGAAATGAATGGCTACCAGTTTCATAGTTTCACAGTGTTCTTTAGGATCTGAACGGAGCAGTAAGGAAAACAGCTAATGAGTCGATCTTTCCTTTTTTATCTTCTGCAGTCATCTCAACTCGAACTCCACCTCCACCCTCACCGCTGCCATTTCCAACACAAGCTATCCTTCCTCCAGCCCCATCGAGCTACTTTTCTCATCCAACAATCAGATATCCTCCCCACCTGAATCCTCAGGATACGCTGAAGAACTATGTACCTTCTTATGACCCATCCAGTCCACAAACCAGCCAGGTAAACAAAAGAGATAAAATAAGATTAGATCCTAAGGGAGATGGGACAGGTCTAACTCTAAGACATGAAGGTTGGTCAGTTTGTCTGGCAGAATATCAACCCTTCAAATTCATCTTCAGGAATTTTATGGTAACTCAATAAGTTTGTATTTAAAGGTGGCTGAATGACAGGTAGGAAAGTGTGTTGCCCCAAAGGGGAACCTTTGTGAAGATGTTATTCGTTTAATGTGTTTGGATTTTCATTGACTGAAGGGAAAGTTTATGCAGAAAGCACATGGACAAAAACACTCTGAGCGGGAGTTCACACCTCTGAAATACCTGGTTTGACACAGAAACAGAGTGCTTATTTCAGGCAGGAGCAAGGTATGTGTTAAAATAAACACACACAAAAGAACTTACAGTTGTATTTATAGACCAGCTATTAGGTATTAAAATAAGCTTTGGTAATGTAAACATTTTCAGTGTTTGATGACTACTTGAAATATTCTTTGCAGAGACATGACTTATATTTAATAATGAGTGACATTACTAGAAGAGTTTTTTTTTTACCCTTTTTTTTCCTTTGTAAACACTGTGCAGAGTTTGTAAGGATTTGTTGTGTAAGAGCAGTGACTCATGTGCATTTCTCATTCACTAGATCTGTGGTTTCTTCTGTGGAGAGTTTGCTTTACAGGGATTTGATATGAATATTTTTCATAATAAAGTAGACAATCTGTGCCAAAGCGGAGTTTATCAATAATTACAATATATCCCAAATCTGCGATTTTTATTTTTATCTCATGGTTTGGTATTTGGCTTTGATGGTTTACCTCCAAGAATGCTGTCCATTTCTTATCTTTGTAATATAATATGAAGCATTCATGCTTAGGGAGAATTTTGTAAATTCTATTATTACTACTGGGTTACTAAAATGCTATTAAGTAGTATGTACTTATCAATGTGTAATGAGCAAAGAAAGATCAGGAAAAAAAGTAATTTTGTCCATAATTTGTTAAAGCTAATGCAAGATGGTCTTTTAGAATGTTTTATTTTGAATAACAACCCTGCAGTACCCTTTGGGTTACTTAAAAAGTTACCTTTAGTTTTAGTTCCATTAACTAATACAATAAACTAGGTATTGACCTTACGGTTAAGCTAAACCTTTTCTTTGTATTTTAGAAGAAAATGTTCAAATGGTGTAGCACATTTAATGAGCGTAAGACTAAGGACAACTAAGTAGAAGAGTGGGATCTTAGTATATCAGTTCAGAAATAAAATTTGCCGTCAGAACATGGATTCAGAAGTCTCAGTTCCTTAGAGCATTTTGCTAGATTCAGCTGGGAACAGTGCACACAAGGTCTGATTTTAATTTGTGTAGAATTTCCATGAATAACAAAGTCTAATTAAGACATCCATTAAAAGTCCTTAACGTTAATTCAGTGTGGAAAATCTTAGAGTTCCATTGGATTTTTTTTTTTTTTAACTGATGTCTTAATTAGGCACTGTTAGGGGGAAAATTATGCAAATTAAAATCAGGCCCTTAGTGTTACGCATTTCTTTAATTATTCAGTGCTTGTTTTACGTATATTTCAATTTCTTTATAAGTTAAGAGGGCATATTAGGTGATAATCTGCCTATATTGTTCTCAGTTTTCTTCACATTCTCAAGGTAAAGATCCAGCTTCTAAGAGAAGCATCTTGCCCTCATCTCAATTAAAACAAAACAAAACAAAAAAAGCCTCTCAGGATTTTGTATAATAGGAGCAATGTACTAAGTAGGATAATCCTTTCCTAATGCTGTTCAACTTTATCTTCAGAAAAGACATCTCTCTTTTCATATCTAGGCTATGAAAGATCATCTTTTAACAGCTTTAAAAGATAGATGCTCTGGTGGTGTTTCATCGTTTACATGAGTAGAATACTGAAGAGAAGTAATCTTCCTGTTCTTCTGACTTTGTTTCAGAAAACGTGTTTGCATTGACTTAGGAATTCATTCTTTATCACTTTTATTATTTATAAGTGAGCAAAATATCTGTCTATGTTGATTCAATTCCAGTAGTCAACGCTTGCAGACTGGGCAGGGTAGTATATCCAGTGGCAGCATTTCCTTGAAATTATTGTCGTTCTGCCTCTGTTCCAGGTAGGTACTATCACACTGTTTCAGTCAACACCACATTCAGGGTTCACAAACACTGGTCACCATTGAATATACCACCAATGATAAAATGAGTCCTTTCTCCTTTCACAAGTAAAATATATAAAGCGGTCATTTGCAATTGTCAGGTAAGCAGAACTTGATAGTCTGCTTTAGGTAGAAATTACTTTTTCCCTTTGAAAAGAAAAAAAATGGATTTTTATAGTATTTTTTAGAATTATTATTATGTCTACTTTGATATTTAACTCTGGCAAAACCTATTAAAAATAGTATTCCTCATATTGGCTACTTTGGCTCTAGAAAAAAAAGAAAGAGTAAATACCCCTTCACCATCTCCTGATGGCCGACTGTTTTTTTGCTCATGTTCTCACCTTGCACTGATTTTGATTGTTAAGTTAAGGAACTGAGATGCCTTTTCCTCCCCACAGCAATTTGGAAATTAATTGCATTACTGCTGCACCAATTATAGTGAGACAGTCATGCTATTCAGTGGAATATTTTGAATGAAATCAGGTTAAAGATATAACTCTCCAATAGGTTTCTGTAGAGGAAAACTCTGGTCAATTTTCCTGACATAAAGTTAAATACTTAAAATTACCCATGATGAATAGTCAGGATATTCAAGAAGTCCATTTTCTTTATAGAATAAACAATATGGCCTCTGAGGAACTCCACAAAAGACTCGGTTCAAGTCTGCAAGTCACAATATTTAAATGATATAAGCTGTTCATTTTCTCTAAATATATGTCTACTCATAGTTTATATGCAGGTATTGAGATAAATATTCTGCTTTCTTGCATTTAATAATTTAGATTATAAAGACAATATATTTGTGGAGAATAACCTCCTAGCAAATTGTTATGGATACCATGTCGTAGAGAATTTCAACATGACTGTAATCAAAAATAGCTTTCTCTGTCTAGAAAAATATATTTCAATATTTCTTCAAACAATGCACCCTTAGGATTTTGTCTTCTATCACAGAAACCATTTTTGCACCCAGGGGCTAACACTCAGAATAATAATATCTTTTCTATCATTGCCCAGGGGATTTTCTCAGTTAGTTCCCACAAATGTCAACAATAAATGTTTTGTATAACTCTCCATGCACAATGGAAGAGTAACTCAAATGACAATGTGCATTTCATTGTCCTCGGGTTCACTTCAGTACATTCTAATTTACTTTGGAATTTTTTTTTTGGTAGGTGTAAGGGCAGTAGAGCTAGTTCAGCATTTCGTGTTATTGCATGGAACTGAAATGATAGATTTTTGAAATCTTGTTCTATCTGTTTATATTAGTAAATCAGCAAAAGTTGAGTGGAGATTTGAGCTTCTACGTTGCTTGCTGTGTGTTTCTGAGCATTGCTGTGTGTGTGTGTGTGAGAGCACTTGAGGTTTTGAATGTGTAAGAGAAGGCCTTAACTGTAAGTGATGGAAATGATGTAACTTGAAGTGATTTGAGTTTACCTGACCGTAAGTGATGTGTGAGAGCTCCTAGGTAGTCTGTGTCCCTGTGTCAGTGATATCATCCTTGAGGTGAAAATCATGTTCTGAAAGCCAAAACCAACTGTAGAAAATGAAGAGCAGAGAATGGCAAAGTGCTGGGTTCTAATTCTAGGTAGGTCAGTAAGGAATTCCATGTTAGCCTCGGGCTAAGCATTTAACTTGAGCTTCCAGGCCTGCTAAATAAAAGGATCATATCTACCTGGCTCTCAAAGGTGCTACAGAGATGCGTTAACCTGTACAATGTGCTTTGAAGATGAAATATTTCTTTGAAATGCTGCTGCTTCTTATACAGCTAACCATTCGTTGGCTTCTCTGACTCAGACTGGAGAGGGCCCGGGTGGCCATTCTGTACCCTGTGTGGGATCCACGCGTCTGCGTGTGCTGAGTGGAGCTGTTGGATAAGATGACTGCCTTTTGGATTGTTTCACCCGGCATTCTGTTTTTGTTTTGTAGCCTAACAGCAGTGGTCAAGTAGAAGGGAAAGTGCCTGGCCATTTCACTCCTGTCTTGGCACCCTCTCCCCATCCCAGTGCAGTGCGACCTGTGACCCTGACCATGACAGATACTAAACCCATCACTACATCCACTGAAGGTGAGGCAGCTTCACCTACAGCAACCAGTAAGTATTTCTGTAGGAAATGAGAAATGTCCATCAAAGGCGCCGTTGGATATCTGATCCAAGGTGGAAAACACGGCAACTTTTCCAGCTACTCGACCAGATGGAGATTTCTCATTTAAGTGGAACTGGCAGGCATGTATGTGGCCTGGCTATCACATGCTCTCTCTTATCAAATTTCAGTCAGTGCATTATATTTGAAAAGGGAGAAGCTTATTTGTTTGAATGAACAGTTGTAACAAGAATAATAAGTCATGCCTGCTCGTTCAAGGTATACAGCGAAATTGCACTGAATAACCTAACTCAGTGTACAAGGTTTTTATATCACCCAAAGAGAGATTAGATAATTGTTACTTATTGGAGCATTCCTATAGAAATCAAGCCCCTTCACGAGGCAGACTGAATCAGTGCCTCTGTAAGATAATTGCATGTTTACATTACTGTAGGTTATGTCATTGTTAGAAACAGTCGCACAATGTTGGGTGCAGGCAAGAACATTTCAAAGCTTAGTATTAGACACATGGAAGCTACCTGCACTTTCATTATGTGCACCTTTATTTTTTTAATCCTTTTGATTGTTTTGCCTATCATGGTGCATCAGATACTATGCTTTATAGCGTGGCCATAACATTTGAAATGTGAGAGATTCAGCCAGTGAACATATGTAGTACATACCAAATAAGCCACTTGTCTCCTTTGCCTCTTCATATAGAGACTCAGAAGTATACAAGGAATTAATTTTAAATTGGCTTTTCCCAACTACCTGCTTCTTAGAACTGGAGCTGGGATGCACAGATTGGTAAAGTGGAATGGATAAAGATACTGGAAGGAGGAATTAGCATGTGTCTCATCAATTATATGTAAATCTTAAATTCATACCTTTTAGTTTTCCTTCCTGGAGCAAGGAAATCCCCATGCTCTGGAAATTCCCATGTGAAATTATAGAGATAATCAGAGGCACCTCTGGCTCTTTCATTCTTTTTTCTTTTTCTTTTTTTAAAGAGATTTTTGCTATAGGGCACGTTTGCTCGCCCGAGAGGCTGAGAGACAGAGAGCAAGAAATCATCCTCCAGGGGGGATGGCCATGCTGCAATCCCTTCTCCTCCATTATCCTCTTAGGATTTGGAGCACACACGCACATGCACCTGGCATGAGTTTCAAGCTGCTGGAGCTGGGACTTGAATTGCGGTTAGCCAGGTGGGAGTCCAACACCTTAACCCGTACGCCACCTACTGGCCCAGGCTCTTTCATTCTTCATCATTTGAAAGATGATTCCTAAACGGCTTCTGAAAGACTAGGAAAGAAACATAAAGAGGAATTGACAATCTTTAGAGAGTACAAATAATTCAGCATTTCTCAAAATTCAGGAGCCCTTATAAAGGAATAAATCTTCATGGGCTTGTAATAGCCATCCATAATCACTAATGCTTAGTTATTGGTTTATTAGCAGAGAATCAGTCAAAAAATAACCGCCCCAAATTTTTTTTTCTAAAAGTTTGTTGTGCATATTCCGGTCACATTTTGAAAGTGGATATCTTGGCTTCTTTGAGCAAACAATGTCAGTTATTTAAATAAAAGCATACAGAAAGCAAATATTGTTAAAAAAAATAGAAGAAAGCCTATTATAGTCTAAATGGTCAAAACCCAGTTCTAGAAACTTCTGGCACCTACACTTAAAGTGATATTAATGAGATCCAGGAGAGGACAGACCCAAATTATGAAAGTTCACTTATGGGAGTAACATCAGCCTGTTTGTTAATTAGTTGTTTTTCTAGTCACATACAGGTTGTTAAAAAAAAAAAAAAAAAAAAAAAAAAACAAACTTTGTTAAAAAAACATATTCAAAAGGAATTTTTTGGTTGTTTAAAGATGGCTGCAACAGTCCATTTTCTACTCTTACATAAAAGAAATACAGTGAATGGTTTTCCTTTCCTGTAAACAGACTTGTAGCATCAGCTCCCTAGGCACCGCTGATAATGAGAAACTGGTAGTTGAACGGATAAGTCAATGAAGTCAAAGAAAACACAGAGCCAACTTAAGGAAACTTCTTTCTCATGGTTAGAAAGAAAGAGCAGGGCAGATTCAGTGCTAACTGTATAAGGCTGAGGCTCTTCCCTGCCTGCTCATGAATTCTGGGGTCCTGGAGTTTGAGTAGCAGGCATAGGAGGTTCCTGGTTGCACTTGCCAGGATCCTGCATTTGGGAGTTGTTCAAAGTTGAATTGTGAACATCTTCACTGTTTTTAAAGAGCTGAGCTAAAGATAAGCACGAAGGATCAAATTCTGCAGTCCTTTAAATGAACATGGCAGAATTAATGTATTGATTTTTTAAAGTCGGCTTATTTAAAATTAATGTCTGGATTCCTTACCAATCTATGGTTTTAAACCAAACATTGTAGCTTTTTTCAAATCTATAAATGCAACCTGTGAAAATTTTGTTCTGCCTATCCTGACAGAGAGCAGTGCCAACTGCTTAGTGCTGAAAAGAGATCTTTGTCCTTTTCTTGTCAAATGAAATAAAAGCATCTTTAGGAATAGGAAGAACTTTTCTGTGGAAATTCATCTGTATCAAAAAGCACATGTACAAGAAGTACTTACAAGTGAGACCATAACAATGCAAGAAACAGTCACCAGGTAGCCTCACTACCTGGTGACCAAGTATTTAGACAATGTTCTCAATTCCCCCTCTTGGACCAACCTCAAGAAACATACACACACACACACACACACACACCCACCCACACATATTTTGGCACATATGGAAAATATTTTTCAAAAATATTTTGAGGCCATTGAGACCATTTTCACATTAAAGAAAAGACTGAGCTGATTACTTCTATATAATCCAATAAAACAGGCTCTTGCTTCATAATATTGATAGTAATATTAGATTTTCTTTTTAGTAAGAGTTTTAAGTGACACATTTTTCATCCCATATCATCAAGCACATCTGCTTAAACCCCACCATTAAAAGCTGTCACTTTTTCCCTGACAGTTATTCAGTCTGGTTTTGCATTTAGAATCATAGTCCTTCATTGATTATTCCATTATCAGACAGCTACTATCTGGTAAAAAGGTACATCTAGAACAAAGACTTTTATTTAGCCAATCCTTTATAGCCCTGCAGGACTATAACTGGAACACGTGAGTGTAACACCAAAGGATGGGATATGGTTTACTGGGTAGGTATTCCTAGGGGGGATAAACTAGTTGATTTGAAGTCAACTACCATTTCTTTTCTATGATTTGGTATTCACTCAGACAAATGGAAGAGAAATGGAAACTTTTTTTTTTTTTTTTTTCCTGGTTGCAAATCCCACTTCTCTGGGTTTCTTATACATGGACAGGGTGTTCATTCTGATAGTTCACAATTTTTATCTTTGTTTTTGTTCTTCCTTAATCAGCCTACACAGCCTCAGGCACATCTCAAGCCAATCGATATGTGGGACTAAGTCCAAGAGACCCATCCTTCCTACATCAGCAACAGGTGGGCAAGTTTCACCAGGTGTAATGGTGTAGCCACGCTTTCGCTTTGGGCTTTTCTTCATGTTGCCTCTCAGATCTGGACTCAGAATGGGGCTCATGGGACCGAGATTGATTATTTCATTTTCCAAAATTTTTTCTCATTTATCCTTTGTTTCTCACCTCTCTGCACAGAGTTTCTCCAATTGGCTCGTGACCTTTCCATCTCTGTGGCATCTATTGATAACTTCCATGGGTTTAGTGTTTCGGCCAGAATGTTTTTTGCAGTCTTATTGGCTATTGAGAACTTACTAGTCTATAGCTTTCAAAGGCAAAATTTGAAAACTGATTCAAAAGCCAATTAAAGTAGAAACAGTACATAATTTGTGTTTTTGAGAGATTTCATATTTTCCAGATGTTTTATTCCTCATTTTTGTATTTCAGTCCAAGAAGATGAGTTATGAAGCTAAAATCTCAGGCAACACATCATTTCTATTTTAATAGGTTTAAATTGGTTTACTGATTTCAGATGTGATAAAACACTTTTTTTGTTCTGCTTTCTTACATCATTTATGTTTCAAGTAGCATTTTAAATTTCACATCTCATTAATGCTGTAAATTTAATGCAAATGAAGTGTTTATACAAACTGTGAAAATATACAGCCAGGATTAATGGTGGTTTATAAACAGATTAGCCACAGTCCAAAGCATGGGCTCTACCAATATAGAGATCCCATGATTCTAGTTATAGGATAACAGAGATAATTCTAGATACTTCAGAATTTGAATATTTTTTATGATGTGTATGCTTACAACTTTCAAGTTTTGATAGCAGAGTACTTTGAAATTAACAGTATACAAAATATTACCTAGGATAAATGACTGTAATAAGTAAGCAAGAGCTGGTATTAACTAATTTGCTCTTCATCTGCAAGTTGTCTGTGCGTGAATTTGAGTTTTTATATATATATATGAAGCCTGTGCAGGTACTTGTGCCCACTTATTTTGTTCTAGATTTTTTCACCTTACACTTAACTCTGCTTCGTGTGTAGTTCTGGAGTCCTTTCCGGTTACAGGCCAAGGTGGCAGACTGTATATATTAAAGGTCACCACATGCAGAGTTCAGAGAAAATCATAAAGATAATAGCTTATTCAGGATACTTGATGTTTTGCCAGGTTTAAAAAAAGCCAAACAAAACAAAACAAAAGAGTAAGAACTAACTGAAAACATCTGTACACAGTTATGGAAATACCAAATAATAATTAGAGGTTTTGCCAGCCATTGGCTTTTCAACGTAATTCTCTGGAATGTTGCTTTTTTTCACCTCTAAAATTGCTATAATATGAAATGTGTTATAATTACTATAATATGGTTCTATTTGACAAATGTATGTGTTCATTGTGTTTTTTTAAACATATGCAGAATTTATAGGTTTAGAAACTTGTTCTTTTAAAAATCATTACACATATTTTCAGAAATAGTTTTGTCATGGGATTTGCATTATTCTTTATGACACATCCCTAATTTCCAGTTAATTTTTAATTCATAAAAACATGCCTCCATTATTTAAACCATTAGTCCCAAACACATTTAGAGTATTATAACCAATTTCATGTATTTAGAAGCAATCTTCCTTTCCCCCTCCCCTATCCCATGGCAATTTCGATGTTTTATCATTTATGACTAACTTTGGCAATATCATGTAATTATGACCATAGAAGTTCACCAATATAAAAGTTACTTCTTTTTTCAAATATCTAGAGATATATAAATAAATAAAGAAAGCATAATGAAAAATTGGGTCTTTTATTTTTTTTTTTAAGATTTTTATCCATATAGTGCATGTACTTACGGGAGAGGGAGAGAGGGAAAATGAGAAATCTCGTCTCGGGGCGGGGGGGAATGGCTATATGGTAATCCCTTCTCCTCCAGTCTCCCTTAGGCTTTAGGGCATGTACTCACAGATGCCTGGTGTGATTTTCAAGCTACCATGTCCAGGACTCAAACCATGGTCTGCCATGTGGGAGTCTAACACCTTAACCACATACCACTTGTTGGCCCCAGAAAATTTGAGTCTTAATGTAGATAGAATTCTGGGCACATTGTAATTGGAACAATATATATGAGTTCTAGAACTCCACACTTTTTTCAACAAAGACAACCACTTGTTATTTATGTAGATAATGTTGAGTAAAGACCACTGTTCAGTTTAATGGTATTTATGGGACATATAATGTATATTAATCCTTGGTAGAAAAAAATCCTCACATGCTTCATAGTTAAAATTTTTAAATACTGGGTAGACAAAGTGTCCTCTATGTAATGAAAGAATTAGCAATACTTTTTGTTACGAGGAAGTCCAATTTACCAAATTATTCATGAACTACCATTTGGAGGCTTGCAGAAAATAATGTCAAATGCGTATCCCACTATATATGGACATTACTAAACTAAGGCTTCATTTAAAAGCCTATTATTTTTATCCTTAAAAATTTTGAAAGAATCATAGAGATGAAATTTTTTATTTACTAAATAGGAGTGAAGGGACAGAAATAGTTTAAATGACTTTAGTAGAATAAAGGTTATTCTTTTCTACAGCAGAAACGAGATTGATTTACTGTGTCCTTTCATTACTTTACAAAGATTTAAAAGAGAGCACTCTTCCAGCGGCAGGTTCTAAATGCTTTCGGTTTAAAGCACTCAATGATGAATGAAAAGGAAAATCAAGGGGTACATGAAATAAAGGTAATCAATCACTTTATATTAGCTAGGAGAAATTCAAAATTAGAAAGGCAATGGTTTTAGTCTGAGAGAGTTCTTTTAAACATTCCCCATAGCCTTTAATATACATGACCCCCTAAGAATAAATATTGTCACCAGATACATTCTTCAGTTCATTGCAGCTGCTTTATAAAGATTTATCTTTTTAGATTATGAAAAGTATTGATGTGCATTGTTGAGTGCTATTTTTTCCTTAGAAAAGAACTTTAACACAGCCTATAAAAATTACAGTTAGCAATAAATTTTAAATTGCTGAGTAATTTGGACTATCTTATAAATAATCTTTCTACAAAATGACAATAGAGTTTTCAATATAGACAGTTCTAATACACAAGCATACTAGCATTCTTTTTTTTTTCATACTAGCATTCTTAAAAGTGGAAAATATTAACATTAACCCTATATTCAATACACAATCATACTAGCATTCTTAAATGAAGTGGAAAATATTAACATTAACCCTATATTCCACCTGTAAGAGTAATACATTCATGCTAGCAAATATGAATACTAGAAGTCTATGTCTTTATTCTTGGTACATATGCAGTTGTTGCTAATATATACACATTCTTGTGCTCCTTTTTAGACAATGATTATTACTGGTTGATACTGGTTGTCATACTAGCATTCTTAAATGAAGTGGAAAATATTAACATTAACCCTATATTCCACCTGTAAGAGTAATACATTCATGCTAGCAAATATGAATACTAGAAGTCTATGTCTTTATTCTTGGTACATATGCAGTTGTTGCTAATATATACACATTCTTGTGCTCCTTTTTAGACAATGATTATTACTGGTTGATACTGGTTGCCAGCTGCCTTGATATATTGTTTTCTTCTGAGTCTAGAATTTCACCTTTCATTGCAAATATGAGCTCTCATTTGTCTCTAAAATACAAAATCATATAAGCTTGAAAAATGCTTCACATATCAAATCAGCTGATAATTTGCCAGTAAAAACAGTTCTTGCTAATTACTCTTAATAATCAACCCATGTGAGTTGAATCAGGACTTGACTTTAAAATTTTTCTTTATCTTTTAACACAATCTTGAGTATCATTCAAAGTCTGGAACCAGTCTGTCTTTAGGGATAATTGGCTTAATTAATGCATTCACTGTTAGCATGGTGGAAACATTAAAATCAGAACTTCAATTGAAGCTTCATTCTTCTTTAACTTTTCTACTGGAAGATGGTATGGTGGCCCGAAGAAGTTGTGGGTCTTGCTTTGGCAAACTGAACTCTATAGTCTCTGCTCAGAAATGTTGTTTTATGGTTTGGAATGTTTCCAGAAGTGTGAACAACCTCCTCTTTAACTTAACTTCCTGGAAGTTTAGCAAAATGTAATGTTTCCTTTCCTCTTTCTATTTCATGAACATATCATGCACCCTCATTATGATAGGCAGTGAAGGAACCATATTTTCCAAGTTTTATTTCCTGGAGAAAATAGGAATAACCTAGCAGTGTTGGAGATTGCTAGAAAGCACAGAAATTATTTTATAATCCAGTCTAGCGATTTTACTATGAATGGATAACATGAGGCAATTTATTTGAATTAACACCAATTCTTTATCTAATCTTAAAACATATGTCAATTTCAGGCCTTCTTTCTTTGCTACCTTAGGAAGTTTGGTACTATAAGAGAATCTAGGTAGTTTGATTATTATTATATTTGAGTCTAAGGTCATATTAAAGTCATAAATCCTATGCTTTAATAGCAGCACAATATATTTTTTAAAAATCTTTTTTGTGAGTTGGCGATAAAAGTTAGCAGCCAAGAAGCTCCTTGTTTAGAAATAAAGGATCATTCAAACAAGCCACTGAAGCGCAAATTAATTTTTGATATAGATTTGAGATTTTTTTGGTGGAATAAATTTTTTATTTTTTTGTCTTCTCTGAGACAATAAAGGGAAGTAGACTCTAATTTGTAAGGAAATAAGGCTTATTGTTATCATCTCAAAATTAAAATCTCATGACTATATGTGCTACCTATTAGAGCTAATGAACGAGTGGCCTGGTCCATTCAGGTCCTTGCGTTATTTCTCACAATTGCATGGATTTTATTGGTGCTTGAGCTTCAGCATGTTACATCTCTTGCATGACTATATAATGCCTTTATTTCAATTTCAATTATTGGGCTAATTTGTACCAACATATATTTAACACTTTTCTTAATATAATTTGAAAGTACTTTCCATTACACTGAAAATTTCTGTTACACAAAAGTGGTTGTTTTAAGA